CCTTTATTTGGAGGATCTAATACTTGGAGAAGAGGGGACAATCATATGAGTGCTTCAAGAATTGATAGATTTCTTCATTGTGCACTATGGGGGGAAAGCTTCATTCACATCAAACAAAATGTCCTACCAAAAATAACATCTGATCATAATCCTATTATGCTAACATGTGGTGGTTGGGAATGGAAAAAATCTTATTTTAAATTTGAATCTTGGTGGTTGGAGGTAGAGGGATTCAAAGACAAGGTAAAGGAATGGTGGGATTCTTTCAACATTGAGGGGAGAGCAGGATATTTATTAGCTGAGAAAATGAAATTGTTAAAGGTAAAGATGAAAGAATGGAGCAAAGAAAACAAAGGTAACTGGAAGCAGAGAAAAGAAGACATTTTAAGTCAGATAGCAAATTGGGAGATAATACAGGAACATAGAATGTTTACTGATGATGAAATTTTACATAAGGCAAATCTGGCCATGGAGTTTGAAGAGATAGCCAAGAAAGAGGAGATAGCATGGAAACAAAGATCCAGGGTACAATGATTGAAACATGGAGACAAGAATACAAAGTTTTTCCACAGAATCGCCACCTCTCATAAGAGGTTCAATACTATGGAACAACTTGATATAGAAGGTAACATTGTGAAAGATCCAGCTATGATCAAGGAGGCTGTCCAAAATTTCTACATAAATTTATACAAGGAAGCTGAACACTGGAGGCCCGATCTGAACATTCAAGATGTTAATATGATAACTGGAGAGGAACAATTATGGTTGCAAAGACCTTTTGAGGAAGAAGAAATCCTAGAAAGTATTAGGATGTGTGCTAAGGAGAAGGCTCCTAGACCGGATGGCTTTCCAATGATTTTCTTCGAGACTTTTTGGGAGGTTTTGAAGGACATAATTAACACTCTATCACATTTCCACTCCAATCAGAATTTTGAGAGAAGTTTCAATGCAACATTCATTGCTCTAATCCCTAAAAAGGCTGGAGCTTCAGAATTAAAAGATTATAGGCCAATCAGTCTGATAGGCGGGGTCTACAAAATCATAGCTAAATTACTGGCAGAAAGACTTAAGAGGGTGGTGAGCAAATTGGTCAATAAAAATCAGATGGCTTTCATAAAAGGGAGAAAGACCATGGATGTTGCATTGATAGCCAGCGAGTCCATAGATTCAAGGATGAAAGGTGGAGTTGCGGGTTTATTATGCAAGTCAGACATCCAAAAAGCATATGACCATGTAAATTAGGCATTTTTATTGAATGTTTTGAGACAAATGGGCTTTGGCAATAAGTGGCTAAAATGGATAGAAGTGTGCATTAAAACAGTCAAGTTCTCAATACTAGTAAATGGTGAACCTGTTGGCTTCTTTGCATCAGAAAGGGGGCTGCGACAAGGTGATCCACTGTCACCTTTTCTCTTTATTCTAGCAATGGAAGGTTTTGACAGTATGATGAGAATAGCTACACAGAACAGGTGGATCAAGGGTTTCCAAATAGGAGACAAAATAGGGAATGGAAAGGAGATCAGCCATTTGCTATACGCAGATGATACTATCATCCTTTGTGAGCCAGAAGCCGAACAGCTGAACTACATCAGATTGATTCTTATCTTATTTGAAGCAATATCAGGGCTAAGGGTTAATTGGGGGAAAAGCAGCTTGATTGCAGTCAAGGAGGTGCCTCAGATTCAAGGATTGGCAAGCATTCTAGGGTGTAAAGTAGAGAAATTGCCGACAACCTACTTGGGAATGCCACTAGGGAGCAAACATAAAGCTTTGGGGATATGGGATGGAATTCTGGAAAAAACAGAAAAAAAATTATCAAGATGGAAGGCACAATATCTATCCTTGGGGGGTAGAGTGATCTTGATAAACTCTGTTTTAGATTCACTGCCTACTTATGTAATGTCGTTATTTCCAATTCCTCCAATAGTTATCAAAAAGCTGGACAGACTGAGAAGAAACTTACTCTGGAAAAAAGGCAAAGAGGGAGAGGGCAAGGGTTACTATTTAGTGAAATGGAACACTGTGATGTTAAACAAAGAAAGAGGGGGACTGCGTATTAGAAATTTGAGAATCCAAAACAAGAGCCTTTTGATGAAGTGGTTGTGGAGATATACTAGTGAGGAAGGAACCCTATGGAAGGAGGTGATAGTGGCAAAGTATGGGAATTGAACCATGGTGTACAGAGATGGTGTCAGAACCCTATGGATGAGGAGTATGGAGGTCAATCAGAGCTTTATGGAACTCTATGGAAGAAAATGTGTTTCTCAAAGTTGGAAATGGCAACAAGATCAAGTTTTGGAGAGATGGATGGATTGATCGAATTCCTCTAAGTGAGTCATTCCCAGATCTTTTCTCAATCTGCAACAATCCTGAAGCCAGAGTATGTAAATGCTGGACAACTCAAGGCTGGGACCTATCTTTCAGAAGGCTATTGAATGACAGGGAAGTAGATAGAGTGGCTTCTTTCCTGGGAAAATTGGGGGGAACCAATCTAGTAACAAATGCACCATATAGAGTTATTTGGAAGCACAACAAGGATGGCAAATTCACAGTAAACAGTGCTTACAAGAAAGGCATACAAGCTGGGGTTAGAGGCTACCATCATCACTGGAAGAGTATTTGGAGAGGATTGGTCCCCACCAAAGTGAAATGCTTCACTTGGTTAGTCATCAAATACTTAACTCAAGAAGTGCTGCAGAAGAAAGGAAAGCAACTAGTTCCTAGGTGTTTCCTATGCAATTTGACTGGGGAAACAAACAATCACCTATTTTTACATTGCAAATTCACTGCACAGATCTGGGAGGTGTTTCTCAACATCACATGCTTTAGCTAGACTATGCCAGAACACACCTCTGATCTTTTTAAATGTTGGATCAGAAGGGTGATAGCAAGACTCAAAAGAAGTGGTGGAAGCTAATACCATCATGCATATGGTGGTCAGTGTGGAAGGAAAGAAATGGGAGATGTTTTGAAGATAGATCTAATTCCATTCACAAAGTAAAATGGAATTGTTTGGTATCTTTACTTTTTTGGTGTAAACAACTCTGCATAGAAGATGTAGATCAAATTATAGAATTAATAGGGAGCTTGTAATTTTGCTTAGGGCTGTAAATTTTGAAGGTGGCCAGCATTAAGGACATGCTGAAGAATACAACTTTACCAATGTTCAAAATATGTCTTCCTTCAACAGAACCCAAAAAGTCTGGAAGAACACAATTGGATAGCCACTTCCAATTGGTCTATATAGTTGAATCTTTTATGAGAAGTTGCAATTCTGTAAAAAAATCGTGTGTTCTCGTCGCCTTGTTTTAGCCATTGGATTCTTGATCTTTGTTTCCAAGATGATTCTCCCTTCCTTGCAACATCTTCAAATTCCATGCGCAGATGTGTCTTTTGCAGCAGTTCATCATCTGTATGGGGCCTTTGTTCCTGAACTGTTTCCCAACTAGAAATATGATTGAGAATATCTTCCTTCCTTTGTTTCCAGTTCCGCTTATTATTTTTGCCCTACTCCTTAAGCTTCATTTTCAATATTTTTAACTTTTCAGCCGAAATATTACCTGGTCTGCCAGTCACACTAAATGACTCCCACCAATCTTTCACCTTCTCTTTGAAACCCTCCACCTCTAACCACCATGTTTCAAATTTAAAATAAGACTTTCTCCACCCTTCATCACCACAAGACAACATAATAGGATTATGATCTGAAGCAATTTTGGGAGGACTGCTCTGAATTATTTGAGTAAAGTTCTCTCCCCACTCTGCACAATATAGAAATCTGTCAACTCTAGAAGCACAAATATGATCCTGTCCCTTTCTCCAGGTGAAAGAGCCTCCACATAAAGGAGGATCAACCATCTCCATTTCTTCAATGCAGGATGAGAATTTTGTGATAGCACCGGTCAGTCTGTGACAATTTGTTCTCTCTGATGGATATTTTTGATGCTCACTCTCTCAAAGTTTTTTGGTTTGCCAGTTACTATCTTGGACAGCTTTTGCATAAGGGTAGCTTGCTTCAGTTAATCTTGGGGGTTCTGTTTTGTCCAGATGGGAGGAAGAGTTAATGAACCTCTCTATCTTAAAAGCAATGTTCAACCAACCTGCATTCAATGCAGCTTCAGGGATGATTAAAGTAGATCCCCCTTCACCATTTAATGCCAAGATGCTCATTTATCTGCCATGAGCATTGCACTTTCTTGTACTAAAGTCATTTGTACAAGCATCTTTTGTCTTCCATCTCCAGACCAGATTTTTCTGATCCTTCGAACCCTCCTGAAAAGTGTAGCAAATCCATTCCATGATCTTTTTGCTCAAAGATACTCACCTCATCATATTTCTACTTCTCTCCACCCATTCAAATAGAGAACATCTATCAGAAATTCAGTCTCATGATATCAAAAGACTTGAAGCCCGCGTTAAAATATATTCTATTTTCCCCCATGTCCAATAAAACTGCCAGAGAGCAGGAAACAAACAAAGGAAGAGAGATGACTACCACCACGTACCAACCAACCGGAATCTCGTGGCGGAAGTACTGTGAAAAACTCAAACTTGGGTTTTGTCAGTTGTGACTGGCTGGTTTGTAATCCGGGAGGAAAATGGTCAAAGGGGTGTGTTTTGCTGATGATAGAGGTCGCAAGGGGCAAGAAAGAGAATAGCATAAGGGTTTCAAGGAGAGAGAAACTCTAGAAGAGGGCTTGGGAGGTTGAAGTTCGGTAGGGTTTTGAGGAGAGAGAAGTGGGTGGGTCAGGTCGGAAAATAGTTTCCATCAGTGACGAGATTTGAAGAGAGAGAGTGACGGGGAAAGGTGTTTAGGGACTTATTGTGACCCATGTCCAAAAGCATTTCAACTCTTGTTATTTTCAATAATTCAGAAGTACATCACATTACTTGTCAAAATCTTAAAAATTGTTACAAGCTGAAATGGGAGGGCAACAGAAAGGAAAAAAGTAGAGAGAGCACAAGCAAAATATCTGGGCCATTAATCAAATCCTTCATACCTCAAGTGGAGTTAGCGGGCACTTGCCATCGACTCGGTTTGCACCTGGCCTTATAACTCTTCCTCTTCGTCTGAATTTTCCTCTCCAACTTCTTTCACGGGCAATATCCATCTCATGTTTTTCTTCTTCCCCGCCATCATAAGTACAGCATGAAAATGCAACCATGTCCTATTATAAGAGGAAAAACAATTTTAAGTTGCAAACTCAACTTTCAAAAGGAAAAGAATCTTGGATGATCAGCGTAGCCCTTAAAGAGAACAAACAATTGTAGCATGGTTTAAGATGAAAAGGGTAATACCTCTTCAAAGCGGATGTGCACCGAAACATATCTTCCACTAGTTTTAGAGCTCTTTTTTACCATTCGATCAACCATCTTTGCTGCAAGCATGCGTATGGGTTCGGAAAACCTAAGTGCTTCAAAATTGCACAAACATCGCAATCCTTGGATATTTGGAGGAACTGAATGGGCCAATCTGTTAGAAAACGGTGCAATGCGCACAGCCCTGCACATTCATCTTAGGCACAAGTAAATGTGGCATGTATAAAAGATTCAAGGAAAAATAGGTTAAAAGAAGATGAAACATTAGCACATTGATGGTGCAAGAGAGGCAAGGGGTAAAACCCGAAGTTTATGAGCATATGATACCTTCATCAACTTATGAGACCATATAAAATGCATATTATATGAATCTAGAATTTCGGAGATTGTTGTTTCATTAGTGAGACGGTAGATTCTAGAGCAAAATGGAACATGTCACTTGCAAAAGCAAGCTGATGTGGCCTACTTTTCAATGTAGCAAGAATTTAATTACCCTCAAGATGAAAAATACGTAACTGGCAAAATTCCTGATACACAAATATTTCTTTTCGCGGATAACTCTTTTTTGACCTATATTCCTCATAACAAATGAAGAGTTGTTAGCAACAAAAGCAAGAGTTTCTTTCCGTGAAATTATGAAAAGAAATTTATTTATCCAGCAAAGGTAGAGCTGCCAAAATTGGTTGCGTTCACGGTAGAGCAAAAAAAACTTAATCTGCAAATGGAAAGACTCGCAAAAACCATATTTCAAGAGCTAATGATTTTTTCAGGTAAAGTTTTTAGAACTCATAATATCCTGAGGCAAAGTTCTGAAATAACAGATCAGTAGATTAAATTAATGAGGTAGAGATTCTGATGACTGAACCTGTAACACCTCGCTAATTCTATGCTAAGGATCCGAACCATTAGTCGTGAGGGCATAAAATTAGAACTGGTGATATCCTACTTGTACATGTGCATTAAGGTTCATTCCTACGTGTGGGAAGTGTATCGGATGTGGTTCAGTTATCATAAGGGGCATCTAACACCAAGTCAAGTTCAAAGCTTCTCCGATTGAATTTTTGCATGAGATCAAACAAGGATGAACTTCAAACGAGCATATCTCTTAGAATATGAAGAGTTATGTGTCTCATTACCTATCAAATTAAAGGTCTTTTGACTCTTCTTTCTAACACTGCCAACCCTTCATTTTCAAAAGTTATGATCATTTTAGTTTTGATAGACATTCGGTTTTGGACATGCATTTCGCCGGTGTTCAACAATTCGGGACCAGCAAAACGCCGGTCCAACGCCAGTTGAGGAAAAATTGAAAGGTACTCTGTTTTATGTATGTGTTTCACTTGCGTTGAACAGTTCTGGATAGGCATTTCACTGGTGGAAACGCCAGTTGGACAACGGAAAATCATTTAAGTCGATTTTAGTCCGATTTTTCTCAGCTTTAGCCGTTCTTTCAAGCCCTAGAAGTAGTTTTATCTCCTCCTCTCATCCTCATACATCAAAGTAAGTCCTTTTCCATTGATTTCAAGCTTTCCAACTCAAATTCCTTCGTCTATTCATGAATCACTAATAGAAATCTTAACCCTTGACCATAGAGTTTTCAAGAAACGAATCCAAAAAGATCAAGAAGGGGTTTCTTTATCACTCTTGTGAGAAAAATAGAAGAAAAATATTATTGGATTTTGTCTCTACATTATTTAATTGAAACCCTATTTATAGACATTACATTAGACTAATTTCCCAATTAGGCACTACATTATAATCCTTTTCCAAGTAGGATTCTCTATACCATACCTACTTCTATTCTTGTTCCTATTCTAAGTAGGATTGTATATATTATTCTTGTTCCTATTCATATTCTAACACTCCCCTCAAGCTGGTGCATACAAGTCATATGTACCTAGCTTGTTATAGATGTAATTAATACTAGGACCGGTGAGGGCTTGATGAAGATATTTGCAAGTTGATCACTCAGCTTCACAAAATTGACAATCAATCTCAATGTGCTTAATCTTCCCATGAAATACGGGATACAATGTAACACGGAGTGATCAGCTCCACTACGAGTCATGCCAAACTCCTGCATTACTGTATTGACTTCCCAAACCAAGCTTGAGAAGACTACATCATACCATAAATTACTTGCACAATTAACATACAAGGTTACTAGACTCCCCCGCCCCAGCAAGAAAACCAGGTAGTTGCTCTCTATAGACTTCTTCCTCGAGATCATCATGGAGAAAAACATTCTTAATGTCCAATAGATTAAAAGACCAATGGAAAACAACAACCATAGATAGAACAAGGTGGACATAGGGTATATTAGTCACGGGAAAGAGAGTATCACTGTCACTGGTAAGACACAAGGAACTATGCAAATTAGATAGGGAAAAGGGTCTGAAAAATACTCCAACTTTGGCCGAAATTATTGTTATGATACCAAACTTTGGAAAGGACCTTTTACCCCCATATACTATTTAATAGTGTATTTTAAAGGTATATATGTGTCTACGTGAACATCATAAATATTGCATCATTTTGAATAGTAATGTGTCCACGTGGGCACATAAATACCTTTAAAATACACTATTAAATAGTGCAGGTGGTAAAAGGTCATCCATAAAGTTTGGTATCGTAACAGCAATTTCGACCAAAGTAGGAGTATTTTTCAGACCCTTTTCCCAATTAGAAATAAGGAGTCACTGGAACACAGTGCTACATAACTTAGATATGAGAAAGTAGTTCAAGAAGAGGCACGGTGCCACATAAATAAGATATGAGAAAGTAGTCACCAGAAGGATGACATAGTGCTACACAAATTAGATATGACAAAGTCGTTACCGAAAGGATGGCATGGTGCTACACAAATTAGATTTGAGAAAGTAGTCACCGGAATGATGCACCGACACAAAGGGTTTGCCTTCTGGGTCGAGTTCGTCGCATCGGGCTTGCCTAGTGCGGGTTACCTCTCCTATGTGGTTTGCGAGCTATTGCATAGGAGCGGAGGTTTTGCCCTGTGCGCACCCAAAGGGTAGCGGCTGCGGGTTTCCCTTGTCATCAAAAAAAAATGATGCACCGACACAAATCAGATAAAAGTAATCACCGTGCATTTTTTTCCAGTCGAAACTAACGCACATGGGCTTCTTTGTCAACTTGTTTGAAACTAATTTCATGCGCAAGTTTATGGTAACTTCCCATGTATAGGTTTCAAGTTCCTTGCTGAACTAAATTCTCCAGTATTACCATCCTTCAAAATTATGGTACACACATTTATAATCTTAATCTTCTTTCTTTGGCAATCTCCTTCTCTACTCAAAGAATGAGGTTCCCTTAGCAGTGTTGGTTGTATATTCACTTCTATGAGGAGATCTCCGAGGACCTAGTTCTTAATACTTCTATCTTCATTTCTTCAGCATATAAATGTCACTTGTGCATAGTTTGTAAATCATCTAAACTTAATCAGAACTTCACAAGATCTTAAATGTAGATCTAGAGATCATTGTGCTTCAACACATTCCCACACGCATGGTCCACAACATCTCTTCGGCAAGCGCATCTTAGCCATTTTCCAACACATGAAGAGATTATCCAAAATAATTTGACACAAATGCACCTTTCTATGGTGCTAGCCGGGTGATTCTGACTTGAGCCCATTGTTTTCTAGCAACCCAATAGCTAGGGGTCTTTGTTGCTTGACAAGTTCCTATTTGACAAAAAATTGAACATGGGATGCTTGGTGACTTTTCTAACACCTTTATGTTTGGCAACCAAAGGTCAATGTCTAAAGTAACAAATGGTAAAATAGAGTTGGACCGTGGAGAGTTGCCTGGAATATCAGTGTGATATTGTAGGGTTGGCGTTTGGTTCTAATGAATCCTTGATCACTTTTTTTCTAGTTCCAGTTTCTCCTCCCTTTTTTTGTTCCATGTCGCTGTCATTAATTGAGTCATGAAAAGGCTCCATTGTCCCAATATTTTTCATTTTCATATTTAAACCTTCATGATCTCTTACCTTTCTTATGTCGTTTTCTGCTTCATCACCAAGATTACCATTTCCCTTGCCGTCACAAAACTCTTTTTTGACAAAAAAAAAAAAAAAAACTTTATCATTTCACTTTTCACATGCTATATGGTATTCCCTTGCTGTCACAAAACTTTATCATTTCACTTTTCACATGCTATATGGTAACATGTAGCAGGTTTCATGGAGTCTAGTAGCCAAGCGAAAACCATCGAGTTTCCTGATTTCCAAGCATACATTCTTAGGTCTACTAGTTTAGGCTTTCTCATCTCCCCAGTTTGGTGCCCAAATTCCCCTCGAGTATCAATCATTGAACCGAATGATTGCACCTGTTTTCTAAATAATTCTTGCTATTCAATCATTGAGAGGTGAGCCAAAAAGACAATGAGAGGAATCACCGCCTTGGTTTATAGTTATATGTGCCAGAACTTACGTCATTAGGCTTTTGTTGATGCCGATGGGTGACTTTTCCTAGAAAATATTGTTTTAGTCATGATTGATGTGAGGCCAAAAAATACATATATTTAGCCGTTATTTACCTCACATTTTAGTGCCTTTAATCGTTTTTTGGAATAGGTAACTTACATTTTAGTGCCTTTAATCGTTGCTTGAGTACATACTTATATTGAGTCCTGCCTAATATTATATTTTTGATGTATAGGAATAAAATGGTGTAAAGATAAAGAGATTTGGAGCAAAATTGAATCCCACCTCGATTGTGAAGACAATGGGAGGCAAGGAAGAAAAAATAACAAAGAGAACTTGTGAAAGCAGCACAGTAGCATAGACAATTGCCTTGCCTCAACCCGCATAGGCTATTTGGGGCTGATTTTATCCGATTCGTTTTGCACTCGATTATTTCATTTGAGACTTTCCAATAACTATAAATAGTCCATAAGCACAACTTTTACATAATTTTTTATCTATAAAGAGCTAGGAGCTACTGTGGAGATCGGAGAAAATTGATTTCATCTTTTCTTCTCCATATTAATTCATTTTTACATTTTTCTTTAGATGATTTGTTGTAATTCTCCTTGTTTATGTGGAGCTAAACTTCTCGTTCTACAATTATGGTAGTTGCATCATCGTTGTTGTATGAACTTCAAATGACCTTGGAAGCAAATATGGAGGATCAAAGTGCCACACAAAGTGGCATTCTTTACATGGCTACTAGCCAATGAAGCAATTTTCACATTGGATAATGTGGCTAAGAGAGGAATCTCTTTATGCAACAGATGTTCGTTATGTGGTAAGGCTACTAAGACGTCTCTTCTTAGATTGCAATTTTCATGAGTGGTTGTGGTAAATTTTCCTTAATCTTAGAGGCATCTCCTGGAGTATGCCTCGCAAGATTGGAGTATGCCTCGCAAGATTGATGAGACTCTATTCCGTTAGGAGGTTGCTGGAGTTGGGGCTACAAACAAAGAAAGATGGAGGATAATCCTTGCTTGTATTTGGTGGACTATATGTAGGGAGAGAAATGATAGATGTTTTGAGAATAGGAACAATAACCTGCAGGAAGCCAAGTTTAAGTGTATTTTATTGTTCTGGTTTTGGTGTACAAATATCTACTCCAATAAAACTGAGTCATTCATAGATGTTTTAGGGTCCATTTAGATTTGGTTCAGCTTTGGGGTAGGTTATACTTTATTTTAGTAAATATGGTTTTTCAGTACTACCTAAGTACTATTTTAAATACAAATGTTACCAGTTTCAAAAAAAAAGAAAGTTATCATCGTACTATGGCTCGTGTGGTTACTTACTTTTTCTTGAGCTTAATAATTTGATTGTTTGATCACCTTTCAACTATAATTTGTGGCTCGAAATTGAATACAGAAGAGGGGAATTTGAGAGCGTAATAAGAAAAAGTAGAGCTTGGTCGTGAATCTTATAGGAAGAGGGAATCAATTAGCTTACATGAATAGGAATAGCCTTGCTTAGTTGATATAGAAGAAATATACATGCACTTCACTACTGACAAACGACCATGGGAATACAGACGTTAGGGATAGTCAATAGTCTTAGATTTATCGACAAGATGCTTAATAAGTAACACCAACATGCAACAAGTAACCCGATAAAAAATCAAAGTCAATTCAAATGACTACTTAACTTGATTGCTAGCGAATCCATAACCCTAAATCGATTTCATCTCATTGATTACGTAAATATCTACCCTTCATTTGATTATTTGTTCATTAGTTATTTTCTTTTTGCTTTTAGTTTAGTTAATTCAAGATGATACTTTGGAATTTATTGCTTGAACAAGTAATTAGCATTAGCTTAATTTAGTAAATAGTTAATCAACAAATCTCTATGGGTACGATATCTGGACTCATAATCCTATATAACTTGCACGACCACGAGTACTAGTGTGTGCATTTGGACACAACAAGGACCAACACAGGGCTAAAGTTGTTTCGATACCACCTAATTAAGGTACCAAAATGCTTTATTTTATTTATCTGTAGAGTTACAGATTTAGAGAAAAGAGAAAAAAACTAATTAGGAACCGAATTCATTAACTCTGGGAGAAGACAATCAAGAGATGGTTTCAGCCTGATTTAATTCCCTAAAATAATTAACAGCCTAGCAGAGCAGATTTTATCAGATTCATTTAGATCCGATAAATCCTTTACGATCAAAATTGATCATAATCAGATATTCAAAAATCAACACATTTCTTTATGTTAATGTTGCTATTATGGGATTCTCTACACACATTGATGTTGTTTTAGCAGTAGTATTTGTCCCCAAAGTATGTATGACAAGTAATATACACCTGATTTATCATTCAATGAGACAATAATGGAGAAAAAATCTAAAATGAATCACAAAGAGAAATAACTATTGCAACCAAAAAGGATAAGAGAAATTAGATTATAGGCAAAAGAAACCTACCCTAACTCCTTCAGCTTTGGCAGGACCTTTAGAAGATAATAGGTTGGGCTGGACCATGCCTTTACTCTCAAGTTAACAATGCTACTTATATTATTGTCAAACTTCAGCAGCAGCTCTTTAGGGAGTTCTCGGACCACCTTCACATGATTTCTTAGAGCATAGATGAAGAAGTCCTCATCAAATATGTCACAGAACTTGCTGCAAGTATGATAATAAATAAGCACTTCTGGAAAATATCAAATAGACACTACATAAGGGATGAACCGATATTTTCGGAAAAGAGGAGAGCTCATTGACATCAGAAATGTTAAATCAATCCACACGAAGAATGACATCACAACTTTTGCGTATATAAGAATTTGGAAGCTCTGCATGCTTTAACTCAATTTGTAGATCAACCACATAAACTTTAAAAATACACTCTGTTCAGCTGAATACAAGTCCTATGAAAGTGACTACTGAACAAACTGACAGGATACTTGAATAACTAGGGAAAACAATCTAAAAAGGAACCTTTAAGAGTGGAATGAAGGAGCCCCCAAGGCCTAGCTTGAGTGGCAAAAGGTGGAGGATTTGTGGCCTATGGCACAGGTTCAAGCCCCAAACCATGCAAAGCGAATCCCGGTATTTAAGTGAAGGGTAGAGGGGCGGGCCCATTATCCACCGAGTTTAGAAGATTGTGATTGGTCCAAAGAAGGAATCACACACGGATTTCTCGATTATCAAAAAAAAAAGTGGAATGAAGGATAAGGGACTTTGATGTAGTCAAAGTTAATTGAGTGAGTTTGAGGCTTAATTAAATTTTTTATAACATTGGGAACAAGTATTAAAATATTCATCTTTCAAATTTCAGATTTTTTATTCTTCCCTTCTCTTTTTCTTCATCTGCTTCTTTCTTCTTTTCTTGTTCCTTCTCCCTTTCTTCACCTTCTTCTTCCTTTTCTTCTTTGCCATTACTTTTTTTTTCCTTCTTCTCTCTTCTCCTTCCTTCCTTTTTTTTTTTATGATCGTGGTGTCCATGTCAGCTTTCGCGCTCCTCAACTAATTCCATTGGATACTTGTCACCTTCCACCAGCAATAGATACTAGATAACTCTGTCCACCAAGGCAAGGGCAGACGAGACGAATCACCCACTGAGTTTTGAACCTGAGACCTCAGGGTTCTCAACCACTTCATTGACCACTAGGCCATACCCTTGGGTGCTCCTCTTTCTCTTTATCTAGAGTTTTCATCTTCCTCTCTTCTTCATTCTGATTTGGTTGCCAATATTGTGGAGAATACTTGGCGAAAAAAGTTTAAAACATTGGAGGATTTTACATTTCGTCAAAAAACAATTGGCAGTTGTTTAAGCAACCAAGAGATATTTAAACAATCGAGAACTATTTAAACAACACTAAGTTGCTTAGTTCAATCAACCAGAAGATGCTTAAATATCTATCTAAAGAGGTGTTTTAAACATCCTATGATTGCTAGTTAAAATAACGAGGATTTTTTAAATATCAACTAGTTGTTTTGAAGATATAAAAATGTTTGCTAGTTGTTTTGATAGATATTTAAATAGCTGGTAGTTGTTTAGAAAGATATTTAAACATCAGCTAGTTGTTAAGAGGTGGAGATGACATGGAGGGGGGGAGGATGGGGCTGAGGGGGTGGAGGGGGAAGAAGAGTGGGAGGTTAGTGTAAATAAAAAACTTGTGGGTTTTAAAAATATGTGTCATTATCACTATTTAAAGAAGTGTTCTTATCACCTAATTTTAAGTCTCGAGTCCATGAAACTTAAGCAAAAGTCTCAAAAGTTCCTAACAATTCCATCCCCTGAATAACTAATCCTTGTCTCGGACTATTTCCAATTAAGTTTCTTTACCTCAATTATTTACCTATTTATTGCATCCATAAATAGATAAAGATTTGCAATAGTAGAGAAATATTACAATAATTCCACGAGTCAACTATATTCTGACTTTACCTAGAGTCTCTCCATACGCTATTTAAATGAAAAATTGGAATAACAAGAGTAGCATTCAGTAGTCCTGCAACTGCTACAGCATCACAGATCTGCAATTTATACATAGAAAAAATGGCATATTTAGCAGTGCTACAGAAAATGAATGGAACATTGTCTTAACCCATAACGAAGACACAATTAGTGGCTGCACAATCAACTAAAATGATTAGTGACATCTTCATTTTCCTAGACTCCACGTGGCAAATGGTCAAAACATGCACAATAGTATAATCCATTCAAAATATATCTAGTAGTTACAATTCTATATTCTACAAAATTAGGGTATGTAAACTGTTTTTTCCCTAGATAGGTGAAATATGAAACTGAAGTTATTTTCACCTATGAAAAAGGTTAAAATTAGCTTTGTTGGTTTTTTTATAAAGCTGGTACAGCAAAAAGGGTTGAAAGTATTAATTGAAAATGTCTCTCACTTTTTTTTATTAAGCATAAGCTGGCGCTTTAAATAGACAATTTGAGCCCATAAAATTTCAAAGAGCTAAAATATTTCAACAATCTAATAAAAATTCAAATTTTAAATTCATCCTAACCTAGACAATTTATTATACTAAAAAATATTGCAGTAACTAAAAACAATTTCAAATACTCCTTTGCTTTAGTTACTGCAATTTAAAAACTGCTCCTCCTCAATTTTTGTTTTGGTGGTTGGTGCTAATTCTTTTGATTGTTTTTTTGAACTTGCAAAATTTCTTCCTCTTCCTCTTCCTCTTTCTCTTTCTTCTTTTGATACATAAAAAGCACCCTCAATAATCTTGTCTTGTTGGAAAACTCTTTTGAAAAGAGCTTTAATTTGAACAATGATTGGATTTGTATGGAGTGTTCGTAAGGATCGTTTTACCATTACAATATTCCATAAATCATAGGTTTCAACAATCAGGTTCATGAAAAGTGAAGATATGATGAAGTTTATCATTTTCTTTGAAATTAATAAAGTTTCTCTTTTTTTTTGTGGCTGGGCTGAATTTTTTGATGAAGGGACAGGATTCTCGGGAAGAAGCCTTTTAAATACCAGAAGCCATTTCCGAAATTAGAGGAGAAGAAACTAGCAGAATATTCATGCCAAGACCTGACCATGACCCAAACCTACCATAGGAAACTCTGCTCTAGTTACAATGTGAAGTGACTCAGAAAATGATAAGAAAAAAACTGTGGTGCGATATTGTAGGATACCTTGCCATAACCGTGAAACCTTTGAAAGTCATCTACAACTTGATTCAAGAAGTTCACTCAAGTTGTAAAATATCAAGGATAATCTGAAGGGCAAGGAGATCATACCTTGTTTGTGAAGCTCTAGCGAAAGGAAAGATAGCTGTTTTGATTGTGAATGTTAATGACATCATCCTCATCGAAGATGATCAAGAAGAAATGTTGTTGAATAAAAAATTGATATCTAAGTTTGAGATTAAGGACTTGGGAGCTTGTGATGTCTTCTTGGCATGGAGATAGCTTGCTCAAAAGGAGGCGCGTCAGTTTGACATAAAAATTATGTGAGTAACTTACTTAAAGAGATGGGACTAAGTAGATGTAAACTGGCAAAAATGCCAATTGATGTCAATTGCAAGTCCGAAACAAAAGAGAAACTAGAGGTTCTGGCATTGTGGCACAGTACCAAAAGATGAAGAAAACTTATCTACTTCTCTCACACTTGTGACTTAGCCAGACATTCAATCTGTTGTTCTTATAGTAGGTCAGTCATGCCTTCACCACATGAAGAACATCTTTTTTTTATAAAGGTAACTTTATATTCACATAAAAAAAACTCAACAGCAAAAGACTAACGAGGTGGGATTTACAGCCCACATGGGGTAATTACAAAGCTAAAAACTGGGCAAAAAATTTTACAATTGAGCTATGAAGTCCACTAAACTTTCTACCTCCCCCACCAAATCCTGTTTACACCAAAAATACAACAGACTCAAGCTATTCTTGAATTTTTGGATGCTGCTAGGGATGTTGTTCGGTTTCCCATCATTGGATCTTTCATTTTTTTCCTTCAACAATGTCCAATTGCAAGAAGGGATACATTTCCACCTGTCCTCTTTGAATCTTCTTATTCTGCCCACTACTTCCCACTGTCTCAGCATGTCTAAAGTAGTCCTGGTCATTATCCAGTAAACCCCAAGTATACATAAGAACATGTCCCACAAATTTACAGTTGCTCTGCAGTGTAAGAATAAGTGACGGTCAACTTCTGCCTCTTTCCCACACATGTAACACCTTGAGCAAATCTGTATACCTCTTCTTTCTAACACTTCATGGGGAACATGCTTTCCTAATTGCCAACCAAGTGAAACCTGAGACCTTGTGAGGAATCTTGATTTTCCAAATTAGTTTCCAAGGTCATTTCATTTACATTGTCTGACTAGAGTTTAAGCTCCAGTAAAGACTTCAGACAAAATGTCCCTTTTCTGTGCATTTTCGAGATTGGAATATCAGGACCTTTAGTGACACCTGGGAATGCATTTAGTATCTATAGTAAACCTGCCACTCTACCAATCTCCCAATCATTCAAAACCCTCCTAAAAAATTAAATCCCAACCTTGAGGGCTCCACACTTGTGCCTCAGCGGCCATCAAAATATTAAGGTCTGACAGCATGTTCTTCAAATTTTCTTCCCCTAACCAGAACTAATTCCAAAAACTGATTTTCACCCATCACCAATCCTTAAGGATAGGTTGGGGATAAAGGATCGCCACAATCTTCTGATTGTGTTCCAGATACAGCATCCAAAGGCAAAGTTGCACAGACTCTTCACTTTTGATGTCGCACCCATGTCGGATTTTCCAAATATACTCTACCTTTGGAGAATCTGACACACACGTGTTGACATTTTTGAAGAGTCCGAACAACATAGTCCAAAGGTGCCATTTGCTTCTTCAGTCATCCAACTGATTTGGAGACCGTATTTATGAGATATGAATCTCCTCCACAAAGTCAAATCTTCACTACAAAACCTCCATAGCCACTTCTTCAGCATCCTGGCATTCTGCACACTCAACTTCTTTATACCCAGACCACCCTAAATTTTGCGTAGTGTCACTACATCCCATTGAACAAAATTATATCCAAGCTTCTCTTTATTGCCCTGACAAAGGAAAACTCTTCTTGATTTGTTGGTTTTCTTCTCTATACTACTTGTTATTGGGAATAAGCTCATAATATATGTAGGGAATGCATCCATCACTGATTTGATGAGAGTTACTCAGCCTTGGGTCCCAAGGATAGATACTGGCTTTTCCATCTTGTTAGCTTTCTCTCACATCTTTCTAGAACTTCACTCCAAACTTCCACGTCTTTGTTCTTTGCACTAGGAGGCATTCCAAGGTTTATGCTGGGAGAGAGGCCACTTGGCATCCTAGATTCTTACCAAGTACCTGCATATTAACAACCTGGTTAATGGTGTATAACCAACTTTTGTGCCAATTGACATGGAGTCCTGATACTCCCTCAAAATGGTTAAAATGGCCCTCAAGTGTCTAATTTTATTTACTTCTACTCCAAAAAAAAAAAAAAACAAGGAGGTATTTGCATATAGCAGGTGTGAGATCTCCAATGCGTCCCCCCTATTTGCATTTGAACAGAAACCGTGCAACCACCAATTCTCACTTGCTTTCCTGATCATGGAGTTGAGACCCTCCATAGCTAAGATAAACAGGAATGGTGACATGGGGTGGCCTTGTCTCAAATCTCTTTGTGACTGGAAAACACCTTCAGGATTGAGATTAACGATAAGGTAGAACTTCACAATAGATGTACAGAAATTAACCTAGTTGATCCATTTGTTCCCAAAACCCATATCTCTCAGAATCTTTAGGAGGAAGGACCAATTAACATGGTCATAGGCCTTTTCAATGTCTAGCTTGCATAAGACTCATGGTAGATTATGTTTCACCGTACAGTCCACTAATTCATTTGCCAAGATTGTTGTATCCATATCCATTTAGAAAATCCATTTGGTGCTCATCCATTCAAAACTCCATGACCTTTAGAAGGAATGAACCTGTCTTTTACGATTCCTTGTCAGTATATGATATTATACCATGTGGGTATCATATAGGCCTAAGGAGTGCTTTTTTAAGGAATGAACCAATCCTCTGTGATATCCTGTCAGTATTTGATATATAACAGCTTGATATCTTAGAGCACTGGGCTATTTGTTCCCACCGGTCATCACCCCCATCTCCATTGTGATCTCTATCTCTCCTTTTTCCATGCTTGTCACCCTAGAGTTGACATCGATCGAAGTAAACCAAAGCAAAAACATATTTGAGATTTTAAAATAGGTAGGGCTCTACCACGGTTATCGCCAGAGAATACCGAGACAATACAATAACTAAGAAGATCTCGAAATAACCAAAAAATGGACCATCGGAATTGAAGGTTTTTCAGCCAAGAAAACTATGAGGGAGATGGATCTGATAGTGGAGCTAGAAAGCTCATTATCGACGACCAACGGTTTAAAAATGCAACATAGGTAAGAATCTCAACTCACATCCTCTTTTCTTTATCTTCTTTGTTCCTCACATGTTCACACCATCATGAATCTCTCTGGAAACACACTTTAAACTTTTAGATCTAACTGAAAATTAACCAGATCGTCACTACTGGAGAATATATTTTTTCCAACCAAGTTTGTCCTCATTTATACATTGTGTAAACAGTGTATTATAACAGTATAATATGTGTATAATTAAGGTGTGTATATTATGCAAGGAGTATATGTTGATTATACATTAAATACACACAATTTTTTCCAGAAAATGGGTGTGGAGGATTACAGAGACAACGGTGGGTTCTGATAAAGAAGTATATAATATGGATATATAATGTATGAAAAGTGTATAACATACACACTGTGCAATATGAAGTGTATAACAAATGTATATATGAAGTATATAATAAGTGTATATATAGTATATGATATACATTTTGGCTACAATATGTCTTCTGATTTTATGTGGTCATCTGGTTGTCACTATTTCAGCCAAATGGTTATGTATGTACTTGCCCCATAAAGAAATAGACTTTGGACCTAACTCAAACCCAAAAGTTAGCTCAAAAGGTGAGGATTGTCCAAGATCATATTAAGGAGGCAAATTCCTCTATGCCATTTAATAAACATCACATCAACTTACAGACATTCTCATTAAAGGATTGCGTAAGCCGAGTTCTGAATCTCTAATTAACAGGTTGGACATGATAGATATCTATGTACCAGCTTTGGGGAGTGTCAAGAATCTACTGTAATCTTTTACATTTACTTGTTAAGGTTTTTCACATAAGACTGTTCCTAATTTATCAGGATCCTTGATTATAGGAACTTGATATTTTAGGGAACTTGGGATTGAGGCGGAGTAGTTGTTTTTGTTGTTGTCGGTGTTTCAGGAAACTCATCCCTTGAGTTCAAAAATAGAATCCCTCAAGCTTAGACATTAGTTTCCTTATTATTGTGTATAGTTTTCCTAAAACTACTGTATCAGACTGTAAAGCAACATATGAATGAGAATTATTGTTTCCTCCTACTAAATTCTACAAAAAGACATCTCCTACTTTTTGATAAGGAGCAAGAAGCATTTCTCTTACTCTCTCTCATCAACTCACAATTCAGCTTGTTTTTCTTTCATTTCCTCTTATTCTATTAGGAATAGTTGGTCGGTTGTGTTCACCTTTTGCTTTCTTTTTATAATAGTTCCTTCAGAACAATAAAACTGCAGTCTTTGTACAAACTTTTTCAAGCTAATAAAGAATTTTTAGATATAATATTGGAGCATAGAAGTCAGTTAGGAACCTTCGCTGCTACCTCTTATTGAAGGGTACTTTAACTATTTGAATTGCCCTTAGTGAACAACTGAAATGGGCTAAACTAAAATTATTTAAATACAACATTTATCTAATCTGTAGTGTGCATGTGAACAAATTAAATTTTGCCACTAAAACGGATTTCAGAGCAACAAAATTATGCAGTCACTAAACAAGAGGAAAAAGAAAAAAAAGTTAACCAAATTTGGGCTGCGTTCACAAATTCTCTCAAGATGGCAATCCAACAGACCAAAATATATCTAAAGAACATACCGATAACCTTTGTTGGTTCAATCCACCATTTGCTTCAATTATGAGGTAGCCATTCGACTTTGGCAGTTCTGCAAAACCTTGAAGCACAAAAATAATATCCATTACTAGACATTAATAATTCAGAATCTCTTTAACAAGGCCATAAGGATAAGTTGATTTTGGATATTCAACAAGGGCAGCCAAAGACCTAGTGGTGGCAAATGGGTGGGTTGAAAATGGATTTGACAAAAATGGGTTGTGTTGCAACCCACCCATATTACAACGGGTAAAAAACCTGTTGGGTAAAATATGGTTTGGGTCCTAACCCAAATTTATCTCCTTAAGCCGAAAGTCGAAATTCTAAATAAAACTGTTCTGCGAATTTCAACAATTCAAGAACCAAAATCTATTCAAATATGTTAGCGTTTAATTTTTTGTCATCAAAAAAAAAAAATCTATTCAAATAAGCTCAAATTTGAAACATACATTTTATATATCATAAAGAACAAATCCCAATCACTAATTTGTCAAAAGAACAGCAAATATAAAAAATCCATTTTGCAATAATAGTGATTTTTCATTTTTTTTCAAAACCCATTTGATTAATCTCACTTTTTATATTTCAAATTTCTCAATTTCTTCAAAACACTATTTTTCAATTGCTATAAATTCGAAAAATACTACTGTACAACAACTAAGAAGAAGAAAAAAAAAAGTAAAAGAAGAAGGGATAGGGATGGCAACGGGGCGGCTTTGCCTTATGCGGCGCAGGGCAAGTATGGTTTTATGCGGGTGCAAGGCAGGGTGCAAGTTTTCTCCCTTCACACTTCGGAACTGACACTTACAGGAGAAAAACTTTATCTTCTGCTCAAATTATAGAAGAGATTCTAGTTGCATTTTATTAGGAATTAAGGGCAGTTGATTTAACTAATTATATATAGCATTAAAGAATTATTAATATATCTGATTAGCTAGAATCTGCTAGGAATAGTAATAAATAAATCACTGGTTGTGCTCAACATCAGAGTGGTTAGTAAGAAACTATTGTTATATTAGTTAACAGTTTCTCTAAATTATATACTGAGCTAAGCATGTTTATTTAACACCTTATTCAAAGTACTATCGGGGGAAGGGAGGGGGGTTGAGAAAGCAAAATGCTGCAAAACAGAGGAGAAAAAGAATGGAAATTGCCTAGAGATTGAGGGAAACTGGAAAAAGAAACTGTATATAAGCTTCATCTGTGAAAGAAAATAACTTTGTTTTAATAAAGAATTACAATAACAATATAAATTAATTAAAACGACTTAGCAAGACAATGCTTTTTTTCTATTTATGAATATCATATTTTACTACCAAAGTCATCTAACAAAAAACTAGAAAATTATACGAGGCCAGGTGGGGCAATTATACGAGGCCAGGTGGGGCGGGTTGAAAATAGAAATTTTTGCCATGGGGGACGGGTTAAAGTCTACGCGGGTTTCCCCCCCACAACCACTCCACCCATAGCCATCCCTAGAAGCAGAGAAGAAACCGATAGTTCGGTCTGAAATACCTAATACTAGGTAGTAATCAAAAACTTTTCATAAATGGATTTGTTAGCATAGAATTTTATTTATATCTTTGCAAGTAACACCTAACCACACATGATAGTTGGCAGAAGTACATTTTTTTTTATAATAGTAACTGTGTATTCACACCAAAAAACCCATCAATCAAAAGCTGATGGGGGATTTACAACCCCTAAGGGCTTCATCGAGATTAAAAGACTAGATAGGAGGCTTTACAATTGTCTTTTGAAATCAACTAAACTATCTATTTCCCCCACTATATCATGTTTACACCAAAAATACAAAAGACTTATACTCTTCGTCTTGATCTTCTGGAAACAGCTAGCTTTTCCTTCAAAACATCTTTCATTTCTCTCTTTCCATAAAGTCCACCAAACACATGCTGGGATACTTCTCCACCAATCTTCTTGTGATCCCCTTCTACCAACTCCTTCCCAGCTTTTCAACATATCAAAGGAGGTCCTGGGCATTACCCAACTTATCCCAAGTAAACAGAAGAACATGTTCCACAGATTTACAGCTGTTTTGCAATGAATGAACAAGTGACTATTTATCTCTGCCTCTTGCTCACACATAAAACACCTAGAGCAAATGTGAATACCTCTTCTCTGTAGTACTTCGTGTGTTAAACAGGCTCTCCTGACCACCAGCCAGCTGAAACATGAGATTTTGTGTGGTATTTTAACCTTCCAAATCAGTTTCCAAGGCCATTTTGCTGTTATTGTCTGGCTGAAGTTCAAACTCCAATAACATGATTTCACGGTAAAAGACCCCTTGCTATGTAGTTTCCAAATTGGCAAATCAGAACCTACACTTACTCCTGGGAAAGCATTTAGAGTCTGCAGCAAATCAGCTACTCTATTTATTTCCCAATCATTCATGGCCCTCCTAAAAATCAAGTTCCACCCTTGAGGACTCCATACTTGTGCCACCTTATCCATCTGTTGCAAGCTCAAGATGTATAGATCAGGAAAGGTAGTCCTCAGAACCTCTTCCCCGATCCACAATTCATTCCAGAAACTTGTCTTCTCCCCATCCATAATTCTGTACTTCAGGTTGTTAATGAAAGAGGGCCACAGTCTTCTAATTGTTTTCCACACGGAGCATCCAAAAGTACCAGTCACCTCCTCAGTGGTCCAACTATTCTGGAGCCCATATTTTTGTGAAATGAATCTCCTCCATAGTGCCACATCTTCACAACAGAATCTCCATAACCATTTCTTCAGTAGACTTTCATTCTGTGCACCTAGCTTCTTAATGCCCATCCCACCCTGTTTTTTGTTAAGGATCACCTTATCCCATTTTACTAGATTGTACCCCTTCTTCTCCTTGTTGCCCTGCCATAGGAAAGCTCTTCTAGCCTTGTTGATTTTCTTCTCTATGTTACCTGGTAGTGGGAATAGACTCATCATATAGGTAGGTTGGCTGTCCATGACTGATTTTATAAGAGTCAGCCTGCCACCCAAAGATAGATACTGGCTTTTCCATCTTGCTAATTTCCTCTCACTTCTTTCCAGAACCTCACACCACACTTCTAGCTCTTTATTTTTTGCTCCAAGAGGCATTCCTAGGTATTTAGTAGGAAGGGAGGCCACTTGGCATCCTAGATTCTCAGTTAGGGTCTGCATATTAGGGACTTGGTTCACTGGATAGAGGCAGCTTTTGTGCCAGTTGACATGAAGTCCCGAAATGCCCTCAAAGATTGTTAGGATAGCTCTCAGGTGCCTTATTTGTGTAACTTCTGCATCACAAAATACAAGGGAGTCATCTGCATACAGTAGATGGGATACCTCCATAGCATTGTTCATATTTATGTTAGCACAAAAACCTCTAATCCATCCATTCTCCCTTGCTTTCCTAATCATGGAGTTTAGGCCTTCCATAACTAGAATGAACAGAAAAGGTGACATGGGGTCGCCTTGTCGCAGACCTCTCTGTGATTGAAAGAAACCCTCTGGATTACCATTAATTATAAGTGAAAATTTCACAGTGGATATGCAGAATTTAATCCAGTTGACCCTTTTGTCGCCAAACCCCATATCTTTCAATACTTTGAGGAGGAAATCCCAATTCACATGGTCGTAGGCCTTCTCAATGTCGAGCTTGCAAAGCACTCCTGGTTTATTTTGTTTCACCCTCGAGTCCACCAACTCATTTGCCAGAAGGGTCGCATCCATTATTTGTCTGCCCTTCAAGAATGCCATCTGATGTTCGTCCACTAGAGTTCCCATAACTGTCTTCAATCTCTCAGTGATAAGCTTGGCTATGATTTTGTAGACTCCACCAATTAGACTTATTGGTCTGAAGTCTTTTAGCTCTTCTGCTCCATGCTTCTTGGGAATAAGTGCTACAAAGGTAGCATTGAAAGACTTCTCAAAAAAACTCGTTCTGGTGAAAATTATGTATTGTTTGCATCAGGTCTTCTTTCAAGGTCGGCCAACATTCCTTGTAGAAGCGCATTGTAAAGCCATCTGGGCCGGGGGCTTTGTCACCATCACACTGTTTGAAGATACCCAGTACCTCAGCTTCAGTAAATGGCCTATGCAGCCACTCTTGATCTTCCTGGGAGATTCTGGGGCAATTTGCAATTGCGAAAGCTGGCCTCCAACCTTCTGGTTCAGTGTATAAGTTCTTATAGAACTCAATCATGCTAATTTTGATTTATTCTGGATCTTTGATTTCCTCCCCTCTGACTAACAGTTTGTCAATAGCATTGTATCTCTTGTGTGCTGTTGCCATTCTCTGAAAAAAATTTGTGTTGTTGTCGCCTTGTTTTAGCCATAGAACTCTAGATTTTTGTCTCCACCTAGCTTCCTCATTTTCTGCCAGCTTTTCCAGTTCTACTAGGACAGTTGCCCTTACCATCATTTCGTCTTCGTTTAGGTTCCTGGTATCTTGAGCCAGATCAATATCAGCCAATTCAGCTAATAGGTTGTTCTTCTTGGTTCCTAGTTCACCACAGACTCGCTTGCTCCATTCCTTGATTTTTGGCTTGAGCATCTTTAGCTTCATGCTAAGTATATAATCAGGGCATCCCATCACTTCAAATTCATCCCACCATTCCTGTAATTGTTCTCGGAAACCCTCTATCTCAAGCCACCAATTCTCGAACTTGAAGTAGGGTTTCTGTTTTCCCCAGTCACCACATTGTAGCAAAATAGGACAGTGATCAGACGTCACTCTAGGCATGACCATCTGTTTAATGTTCTTGAAAAACTCCTCCCATTCTACTGAATAAAGAAATCTGTCTAATCTAGCGGCACTGTGATGATTTGGCCCTCTGAACCATGTGAAGTTTCCCCCGCATAGATGAGGATCATGTAGCTCCATTTCATCTATCCACTTGGAGAAGTCGGTCATTACATTAGTGGTTCTGCTACAGCCTCTCCTTTCTGCCATAGTTCTGACTGTGTTAAAATCGCCACACGTCACCCAAGGTCCTTCACATAATTCTTTAACCGCTGCTACTTCTTCCCAGCACTCTAGCTTCTCACTTCTAATGTGAGGAGCATATACACCAGTGAGAAACCAATTAAAAGAATTATGCACTGCTTCGAATTTATAGGTGATTGAAAACTGCCCTGCGATCCCACATAATCAAGATCCCCCCCTTGTTTCCATCAGCTTCCAAATACCCACAACGCATCCACCTGCTGGGCCATAGATGTTTGGCAAAGCTATCCACATCTTTATTCACCTTTGTTTCCTGGAAGCAGTAAACATCTGCTTTCCACTTGAGCATAGCACTTTTAACAAGATTTCTTGTAGAAATATTGTTAATCCCCCTTACATTCCAAGATAGTAATTTTACCTTCATTTGAAAGTCAAACTCAAGACTCTCCCTTTTGTTCTGGATCCCTCCACTTCTTGGTTCAGACAGGACTGCAGATTTTTTCCAGTGCTGCCTTTCTCTCATCTAATCTCATCAGTAGGGCATGTGTTTCTTCCCTAAATCCTTCGAAAGCAACCCCATATGCGGCACTCAGTTCCATGATATGGGCATTGATCCATTGTGATGCCTCACCCTCTTGATCTTGCCGAATTTCAGGCATATTGGTAGACACTGGTTCGACATCATGAATCTGTTGTATCTGCATACTGTGTCCAACTTCGAAATTTTCCGGCGACTTTGAGTCTTCCCCAACCTCTTGTAATTGCTTTCCCAGATTTTTATCTAATCTGTTTTGGGCCATTACCCCCTGTTGGATGTCGTATGCCTCTCTCTATTTGGAAATTGGTGTCTGTTCAACCAAGTTTACCACTGACGATGATTCCCAGGAACTAAAAGCTTCGAGGAATTGCGTAGCCAGGGTCTTAAGATTAGTCAGGCCCTCCTTTGCCCTTTCATTAAAAGTCACGTGACCCTCACATGCTTTCTCCTTTGTCTGAGGGATTATGAACGGCCCACCTTTACAATTGAGGCCCAAGTTAATTGTTGGGTCATGACCTACAGGTCGGTCTTGGCCCATTAATTTAAACTTGGAACCCTCCTCACGTGTCTCTGTATTTGCACGTGGTTGTCCAGCTGTGGCTGACATATCACTGTCCAAAGTACGATGCAACTCATGATCCTTTGGTACAAATATTTTGGACCGCTGGGTAATATCCACTTTCGAAGAGATTTTTTGGCTCTGTTCTTCTCCGGCGAACACCCTTGCAGGACTTTCAGTCCAGATTTGCATTGTGAATTGGAGGTTTCCATCGTCTATCGTGACCTCTTTAGGTACTTTGGTGCCATCACCTTCGACCTTGATTCTCGCCCATTTTAGGTGATTTCGTAGTTGTGTTTCCTCCTCTGTTTCGACCCATCCTCCGCAGAAATCACCGATGGCTTTGAACACCCCGTGGGACCAAAACTGAAGGGGCATACCAACGATTTTGACCCATGTTGTTCTAGCTCTCTCTGTCTCCAATGATGTACATATCGTCGGATTCCACCATTGGAAAAGCACTGGAGAGTTCCTCCAACTCCAATTACCTTCAACTACTTGTTCTGCCGTGATCATGGAGGAGAACTCAAATAAGAAGTAATCGTTTCCCATCTCGTAAATATTCAAGCCATAAGTCTGCTTCCAAAGGTCATTTGTCCACCTTCTGATATCTACAAGGGTTGGGGCTTCACCTTTACTGTATACAAATTTTCCCACTAAACTCTTCTTTAAAACTTCACTGTATGAGTTTGCATTATCATTAATGCATATTCTATCTCCCCTCTTGAGTATTCCCTCTTCCCTAGAACCAATATTCCCCTTGTTTGCCCATTTAATGCTCTTTAGAATTTCTGCATACGGTATACTCTTATCCACCAACCTATGTACTCCTCGGTTCCCCACGTGTTTATGGCTGCTGATAAATCTCTCAATCTTTTCTGCAATTCCTGACCATCCTGAGTTGAGAGTCATTTCAGGGATGATAATAACTGCCCTTCTTCTGCCTTTGATGTTTATCAAGCTAATGTACCTTCCATACTTGTTGTAATTTCTGGCACAATAAATCTCTGAGAAAGCATCCTTTTTCTTCCATCTTCGCACCGTATTCCCCTTTGTTTTTGAGGCCTCCCGTAGAGTCTGAGAGATCCATTCCAATGCTTTGGCGTTGAAGGTTGTTCTTGTGACGAAGTTCCTGCTTCTTTCTGTCCAGTCATACCAATCACCTGCTGTTCCGGGTGTTCGTGTGATATCGTAGGATTTAAATCCAACTGCGAAGTATATAGTGTCGTCCATCGAGGGTTAGTTCTAGAAAAAATTTAGGAGGGAAAAGAGAAGGAAAGGAGAGGTAGCTTCCGGTGATCAGAAGGATCACCGGAGAAGAAAGAAAGAAATATCAATCTAGACAATCATCTCGATATTAGTGCCTGAGAGAAAAGTTTAAATCTTTTTTGGGCCATTCGTAATAGATCTTTGGCAGAAGTACTTTGAATGCATATATCCATTAAAATTGACTTTCATGCATATGTACTGTTCAAGTGCTCAACTTCCTATTAACGCCAAAATATGAATTCTTCCTTTGATATTTTAAAACCCAAACAAGAAAGTAATTCACATCATATTCATTCCACAACATTTTTAATCATGTATAACAGATAGAAGAAAGAGAAAAACATAATTATGGTACCAGATACAGAAAGTAGCGATAGTGAAAAATAGAACTTTGATGAGGAAAATTATTCACAAATGTAGCAAATCCATGTTTTCCCATATTTTACCCCTACTTACCCATATTTCCATGGGCTAAATATGGGTTGAAACCCAAATTTTACCCGTACAAAATATCACTCACCCAACCCATTGAAAAATGGGCAGGTTGGGCAAGTTAACAAAATATGGGCTCATTTTGCCACCACTAGGCTGTCCTATATGCCCTAGCAAATCAAAGAAATCCAAATAGTTTCCTATTTAGATTTCTTTAATTCCTTTATGGAGCTGAAAGGGCAGATGGGAGAGTTTGTTAGAACTGGATAAAGAAGACCAGAGATACTTTCTTGATATGTTCTTGGCATGGTAGCTAACCATCTTTAACTCTTGAAAGCAGTAATTGGGCAATTTCAAACATTAGCAATCTTACTTTGAGACTAAGGAAGTATACTGCTTTGCATCAATATAAAAGTTCAGAGAATTTAACACTAACTGCAAGAAAAATAAACAAATAATAGGAGCATTGCTACTGGCTGAAAAAAATGAAAACCTTCTTGAGAAACAGTATGGGCAATACAAGGCTTCCAAACTTGATGCAACTTAGGATTCCACACATTTGTTAACTGCATAGTTCACACCAAACAAACTTTCGGGTTAGTGCTATGAACTTCCATAACAAATATTCACCAAAAAGACAATTGCAAAACAACTATTTAGAGAATACATACAAACTCAAAAGTGATATTCCATACACACACTGCAAAAAGAACTATGTGAAATAAATTGTAGGAAGACAAAAAGAAAGAACAAGAAAAATTATCATTTTTACTCCATTAAGGATCAAATTATCATCTTGTTAGAATAGGAATGGGACTAATTGGAAAAAGATTAGTAAATAAAATCCTACTTGGAAAAGGATTGTAACGTAGTGTCCTAGTTGGAAAAGAAGTCTAATGTAGTGTCTTTAAATAGGATCTCAATATAATAATGTAGATACACAGATCAATAATATTTTCTCATATATTTCTCACACGGTAGAGCTTCTACGATCCTAATAGAGAATCAAAGAGTTTCTGCAGCTGGCGGACAACTTTGACCCATGTATGTCATTCATTTGGCCAATAGTTATGTTACAAAAAATAAGGCCAATGATATATGCATGAACCCCATATTTAGGGGGAGAAAACTCAATCAAACAGGTCATTGTGCGTCAATTTTTTTATGATAAGGAAAACCCGCATCCGCTACCCTCTGGGTGCGCATAGGGTAAAACCCCCTCTCTTATGGTAGCTCGCAAACCACATACGAGAGGTAACCCGCACTAGGCAAATCCAGTGCGACAAGCTCGACCTAAAAGGCAAACCCCTTGCTTACGCTGGCAAGGGGTTTCAAACTTGAGACCTCCAACATGGAAGTCCCAAGCCCAAACCAGTTGGCCACCCCGAAGGGTACCGTTCATCAATTTTTGATGACTTTCTATGTTTGTTTTGTGTCAACCCCATATCTGTCAGTGTTTTCATAGCATCATGCATCTTTCTGGTGACTACTTTCTCATATCTTATTTGCATAGCACTATGCATCTTTCTGGTGACTACTTTGCATAGCATCATGCATCTTTCTGGTGACTACTTTCTCATATCTGATTTGCATAGCACTGTGCATCTTTCTGGTGACTACTTTCTCATATCTGATTTGTATAGCATCGTGCAGCTTTCTAATGACTACTTTCTCATATCTGATTTGTGAAGCACCGTGCATCCTACCGGTGACTATTTTCTCATAATCTAATTTTTGTAGCACCGTGCATCTTTTTAGTGACTACTTTCTCATATTTGAATTGCGTAGGCGTTTTTCCAGAGAGCTCAAATGGATACTATACTGACTCAATGAAACTAACACAAGAGCTATTTATATACTAATCATCTAACCAACTCACTAACCTGTAACTAACTCACAGTCATTAATTTAATAACAACCTGAACAATATCTTAAGCTACTATTACAACTAAGCTAGTACATTTTTAATCATAAATACAACTAAGCTAGTACATTTTTAATCATAAATACAACTAAGCTAGTACATTAGAACCAATTCAACTTATACTTTCAACGCTAAAGCAGTAAGGCAATATACAAAATAGACAGAATATCTAATAGGGGATATGTGCCACTAAAAGCTCATTACACCTCAAATTTATTCTCATGATTAAAGTTCACAAGTTACCTTTCTAAGATTTCATGTTCAAAATTGTGGTTCCAGAATCTAACCAAACAAGCCAACTTACATGTAACAAACATCATATCAGAAATTTAATCACACTAAAAGAAAACCTGGGAAGTGAAAGAGAAGAAATTGTAAGTAGATTACCAAATTAGAGCTTCCATTGTTCTCAGCCTCCATTAATGGCCAGAGCTTTTCAAAAACCTGTGGGCTCCTGTAAACTGATCCAATTGGATCCAGCCCGGTTCCCCCACCACTTGTACGAGATGCATCAAAGCCTAAAGCACCCATATATAACAACATTCCAGATATATACAACAAGGGAGCAAAAAGTAACACCCCTCTTCGCCTATAAACAGCAGATACTATCATAAAACCTAACTTCTCTGCAAAATTCTGCAGCTTTACTTGACAATTACCACTGGTGAAACTAGCAGATAGATCAGTGTTCTTATTCCGGGCATGACGGAAACGAGGGGAGGATGGCGGAGACACGCCATTGCCTAGCCGGCTTAAGCCGTGCATGTAGACCTTTAACAGAGGACGCAATTTCAGTTATTCGGATGGAAAGAAACAGTATTGGGTAAAATAGTTCAAACAAAGTGTGGAGAACACCAAAATTGCAAATAATGCTGTGAGGCTCACGGACACTGGCAGTATAAAGTGGGGTAGTGTACGTGTAGACAGCTATACGCAATTAAGAAATCCACTTGCCCAATTACAAAAAAGGCTTTACCGACACAAGGACCGAAAAGCAAACTGCAATGCTGCTAGTTTTTTTGGGAAGAAAGATGGTCTCTTCTTCTTCTCCTCTCTCTCAAATTGAGAAAAGCATTAGATCACACAAAGAAACACAACTCAAAAAGGAAGAGTAAAGTATAGCTTTTTTTCAAGCTGACAAACCTTTCTCCCAAGTCCTACCACTATGCTTCTTTGGTTCTGTTTAAATCTAATTTTACAAAGAAATTATCAAAATGGTCCTTAATTTATAGGAGTCAGGACTGTTCGGATCCTTGATTCTCTTCAAAAAAAAAAAAAAAAAAAAAAAAAATTGGTACGATGGTATCACACACACTTAAAAAAAATTATGTGGTTCTAAATTAAAGTTATTATCAAATGTATCAAAATGTTGTTTAATCTTGTAGTCTTAAACATGTCAGGTGGAAATATAAAATTAAAGTATTGCAAAAAAGGAAAGGGTGTTATAAAATAATATATTGTAGATGTCCACTACATCAAGAAGTTACTCCATTATTTTCCTTCATTATGAAGATAACCATGACCTCCATAACATCCACCTTTATAACCATTATTCTTATAACATTTCACTTCCATAACCTCCACATTATATTCATATTAATGTCATGTTTATGACCAACATTTTGTATGCCTCTATGTTACACTATAAATAGAGGCATAATAGTTCATATTGTATACACTTGAAAACTTGGTGAACACTTGAAGACTTGAAATAATAAGAAAAGCTCTCATCCTTGTCTCCCTATTTCTATTACTTTCATCTTCTATATTTCTTGTATTATTTTGCTTTAGTTTTACAACACGTTATCAGCACGAGTTGCTCATTCTCCGTCAAGAATCAATGGTAGGTATTTCTTGATTTTTATGAATTATCCTAGTAATTCTTCGGTTGCAAGGTAACTTCATATCCTATATATTATTTGTACTAACAAAGCTTGTTTTGTGGTTATTTTAAAATGGTTAGTAAATTATGATAATCTTCATAACAATATTAACAGGGACTATTAAAATGTTTTAATTTATATTAACTTAGGACTTTTATATGGTTCCAACATGTTGTTCTAATTAATTAGTTTTGTTCATTTTTATTCAATTTTAAGTCAAATTCAGATTATATTTATGGTATTCAATATTTATTTTTTGGTAATGCATTTGATTTATTAAGACATTGGTTGAGGGTAAGACGGTGAATTCAGGTTTCACCGCACCAAGTGGGTAAGACATCGAGTTAAAGTCTCGGTGCACCATGATAATAAGAAGTTGGGTTCAAGTCCCATTGATTTATGACCAAAGGCGTCTTTATATGGGTAAGACATTGGGTTTAAGTCCTAATGCACTATAGTGATGATATGATGATGACTAACATAAAGTTTTATAATTTGACTGAAAGTCATGAAATTTACCCAATTAATTTGCTCCATTCTCTTAAGTGAATGTGGTAGCAGTGCATAATATGTCTGAAAAATGACGAGTGGTTGAATGTATGAATATGGGTGTGGTAAAATGTTAATGGTCATCATTGTGGTAATTAAAAGGAAGAACATTATGGGTTCTTAAGATGGTCCTTCAAATGTGAAGGTAATTTTGTCCATTAAAGTGGTATGAAAGGTTATTGGACACATTGTTTCTTAAGATGCTCCTTCAAATGTGAATGTAATTTTTATCCATCAAAGTGATATGAAAAATTATTGGGCACATCGTTGTTGGTGCAACTCAAATTGAAAAGTTTTGTAAATCCTCCATCAAAATAAAGGAATACAAAGTGGTAGTACAATTGGTACATTTGACCTCTTAAAGTGATGTTGAGGTAAGTCACATAAATTTGATAATGCCGAAGCATGACAATGAGTTTCTAATAAAAACTTATGAAGAATGTACAAATGGTTATAGTCCATTTCTTGAAGAAAATGTGACTTGTGTTCGTATGGATAAGAACATGTTCATGTATTGTTGGATGAATGTCACATCTCACCTCTACGGGAGGTTTGAGAGGTTGAAAGGAAATATTTTGACATAAATGGTCATTTTGGTCATATACTTTGAGTACTACACAAATATTGTGGTATGTTTTATTATGAACTATTGGAGGACAAAAGAAAAAAAATAAATCTTTTCTATGAAGGTTGTGGTGATGATCAAAATAAATGTTGTTGTGTGACAACACAAATTTGTCATTGGTTGTCAAGAAATAAGTCTTACATGTAATAATTTTAACCATGACAATAACAATAATTTTCTCCTTGAAGGAGATGGTCACCATAAAAATGGTGTTGTGAAATTTATGGTAGTACACAAAATTAATTGAGAGTTCCGAAAGAGCTGATTTGTTACTACCCGGAATGAAATTGTTCATAATATTGGGATTGTAGTAAGTCTCAAAAGAAACTTTTTAAGTTTCGAAGGAATTGAAAATTATTATATTGAGACTATAAATTATTGAAAGATTAAATATCTTAGGATTACTACAATCAAAGCGGGTTATGAATATTTACATAAAAGGTTACCCTCCTTTCTCTTGTTTGTTGAATAAAAATATGAGTATGATGAAGAAATCACATGCAAAAGTAAACTAAAAGTTTACTAGAATAAATATCAGTTGGCATAACCGGTTGGCCATTCCGGTTTAGAGTGATGCAAAAGAAGTTAAGAATTCACGTGACTATATGTTTGAAGAAATAAAAGATTCTTCAAGATTCTCTTTTGTTGCTTGTTCTCATGACAAAATGATGACTGTATCAACTAAGGTTGGGATTGTATCCCCTGAAATTATTTGGAACATATAGAAAGGTGAATATGGTCCCGTTCACCTGCCATGTGGACCGTTCACTATTATGATTTAATAAATGCATCTATGGTATGGTCACATGTGCATTTGTGTCAACTTAAAAATTGATTTTTGTAAGGTTGTTTGCTCGAATTGTTAAATTAAGAGCACAATTTAAAACTATAAAATTATGTTGATAATACTGGTTGGTTTAGTAGAAATTGTTTGCCTCCAATTATAGCTAGACTATTGATTATGAGAACAAATCTCTTAAATAAAATTTGGTATGAGATGTGTTTATTTAACGTGTATGCATCAAGCCAACAAGGTTCTCCCATCACAATTGGTTCAGGGTCAGGAACCAAATAATTTCTATCTAAAAATTTGATGTGTGCACATATGATTTTATTGCTCTATCACGCACAAAGATGGATCCCCAAATGAGGTTGGGGTGAATGTTAGATTTCCTAACATTAGGGGGAGATATGTTTAGCAGCTGAAATTATGTGTGGGGGTGAATTATCTAGATCCTCGTTAAATAAAAATGTTAACTTGAAGTTCAAGAGATAATTCATTTGCAAAATATTGCAAATAATTTGCCAGATGTATTTGCTGACCCAATATTTTAATTAAGCTGCAAATGCTCCAATAAATAGTCCTTGAAGGACAGAGTCTATGGTACGCCAGAAGCGTGATAGACCAATCGATTCCAAACGTAAAACTCCTTGAGGAAGGAGAGGAGCAAATTATCAAAATGGTCATGATAATGAGGTAAGTGTTTTGAAAGAGCACTATGACATAACACTTCATAAAACCTTGGCAAAGGTTCAGGTACCTGGAAATGATGAAAAATGAAGAGATTTCGATAAGTTATGTCGTATTGGAATCGAATAAAAATAAACATCACCTTTCTAAGTGAAACAAAATACACTTGAATAGTGCATTTTATTTGGCCAATCATTTATTTGTCCATATTATATGACAGATTCGAATTAAGATTCTCGTAACCATTTATACCATTGAGTGCTACTTCATATCAAAGATACTGTCGACTGTCATAATATCATTCAAGTTATGGTAAGAAACTAACAAATCAAGTGACTCAACACATAGAAGATATGTGGTGTTCTTTGAGAAGAAAAGACGAGCTTCAATAAAATTGAAATGATCAATCTCTGAGTCAGAAATGATTTGATTATGTAGATGCAGAATATTTATTTGATCTGCATAAAGTTCGATCACAAATGAGCTATTTGTTTACATATGAAGAAACAATAATATCTTGGAATTCAAAGAATCAAACATTGGTAACCACTCCTTCAAATCATGCAAAAATAATATTGATCTATGAATTAAGTCGGGAGTGTGTTTGGTTGGAATCATGATCTATCATATTCAGAAAATATGTGATTTTCTTTTGAAAAGGATATCCCAGCCACCATATACGAAAATAATATATAGCTCAATTGAAGGGAGGATACAATCAAAGGAGATCGGACAAAGCATAAACATATTTCACCAAAAGTCTTTTTCACACATGATCTTCAACAAAATGGTGAGATTGACGTTCAAAGACCAATTCAAGTGATAATCTTGTAAACTTATTCACTAAGGATTGCCAACATCAATATTTGAGAAGTTGTCATATAAGATTGGAATGCATCGTCTCCAAGATATCAAGTAAAGTTTTTATCAGGGGGAGAAAAATGTGTGTTGAGCTCTTTTCCTTAACCATGGTTTTATCCCAATTGGGTTTTCCTGGTAAGCTTTTTAACGAGGCAACATTCAAAGCGTATTAAAAGATATGTGTACTGTTTTTCCTTCACTAGGATGTTTTCCCACGGGGTTTTTTCCTAGTAAGGTTTTAAGGAGGCATATTATCTATGACATCCAAGGGGGAGTGTTATAAAATAATATATTGTGGATGTCCACTACATCAAGAAGTTACTCCATTACTTTCCTCCATTATGAAGACAACCATAACCTCCACTTTTATAACCATTATTCTTGTAACCTTTCACTTCCATAACCTCCACATTATATTCATATTAATGTCATGTTTATGACTAACATTTTGTATGCCTCTATGTTACAGTATAAATAGAGGCATAATGATTCATATTGTATACACTTGAAAATTTGGTGAATACTTGAAGACTTGAAATAATAAGAAAAGCTCTCATCTCTTGTCTCCCTATTTCTATTACTTTCATCTTCTATATTTCTTGTCTTATTTTGCTTTAGTTTTACAACAAAGGGTTTTTTTTTATAAACAGACTAAAATAAAAAGTAGGTCATTCTTTTTTAAATAGAATGAATATAAAAAAAGTGGACTCTG